GGCTCTTACCGCTCAGGAGTTGATATAAGACTGCCAGAAAGTTGTGGCTTTTTTTTCTCCTGCGCTAGCACTGCTGTCAGTAATCTTTTTCAGGAAGTCGCATCAAGTTTTTTTTTCTTGATGATACTTTAAAAATGTTGAAGCAGCTTCACGCTGTTCCAGCCAGTAAGACAGTGAAGTTTCGATGCCAGGCCAGTGGCAACCCAACTCCTGTTCTAAAGTGGTTCAAGAATGGGAAGGAGTTCAAGAGAGACCACCGCATCGGAGGCTTCAAGGTTCGTGACCATGTGTGGACCATCATCATGGAATCTGTAGTACCCTCTGATAAGGGAAACTATACATGTGTGGTGGAAAACCAGTATGGCAGCATTAATCACACCTACCAACTGGATGTAGTTGAGCGTTCTCCCCACAGGCCAATCCTTCAGGCTGGCCTGCCAGCGAATCGCACAGTAGTGGTAGGCAACGATGTGGAGTTTGAGTGCAAGGTGTTTAGTGACGCTCAGCCTCACATTCAGTGGCTGAAACACATAGAAATTAATGGCAGCCGTGTTGGACCTGATGGTTTACCCTACGTTCGAGTCCTGAAGACTGCTGGCCTTAACACCACGGACAAGGAAATGGAAGTTCTGCACACTTGCTACTAGGCGCGTCAGCAGAAGTCAGTCAATAATATACATCATGTCAACACCATGTGACAGTTTACCACCAATCACAGATCGCCAAATGTACTGTCCAGCCAATCACAAGACTCCCACCAGTCCGTTGTGAAGTCGTCCAGGGGCTATCAGAAAGATAAAGCGATGGACAGTGTCAAGGGGAAACAGATATAAATAATTAGACCATGACAGTAACTAAACCCAACAGCAGGCACAAGAACAGGACTATGACTAGTATGACTAGTTTCACACTGTTTAGGCTTTGTCATACCTTTGTAATATCTCACAAATCACTGGTGTAATTTTAATAAAACTGTCAGCATCCAGCGGAAATTTATTCCACCAATCACAGCAGAATGCTTGTCAGTGGTGGGGTTGGTTTTGAGAAAAGTGGTGTGCTATGTTACCATGCCAGTGGTTGTTGATGGGGGTGGGGGTTGTTGCTGTGCTAATGCTAGGTCGTAGCAGCTTATTCTGTGGAAGCTGTAATGAGGGAGCATTTTTTCGGAAGCTGGGAGCTTGGTTTTGTTGACAAGGCAGGACACCCTTCATTGGATAATGGTAGGGAAATTCTGCTAAGGTCTTAGCTTTGTGCTTCCCACATAGCAGACAGGTGTGGGCCAGATCTGGTGTCAAGTTTGGTACCGCTGGCTGACTGCTGGCGTGGCAAGTGGTTTGTCAACCAGATGTGGGTCAGATCTGCCAATAATGGCTCTGTTTTTAAAATGGCACAAGACAACTGGCCCATTTGTGGTTTGGTTTATGTGGTGCTGTCCCATGAATGGAGTTTCAGTGTTCCCTTGTGTTCCTCTGTGCAGCTGTCCCACCTCTGCACACCTGATTACCCTTGTGTTCCTCCCAGGTGTTTCTAGTTTGCCCTCATTAGTTTACCTTTATATTTGGTGTCCTGTCTTCAGTCCTTTGTCTGATCATTGTACTGTGTTGTCAGTCTGTTCGGTCCCTATGAGAGTTTTGAAGTCCRAAGTTATGCTACGTGAATGTAAGTGTTTTTTGAGCTGCTTGCCAGCCTCTTTTTGTTATTAAAACCTTTTTTGAGTACTTTGAGTGTCTGTGCCCTGGGTTACCTTTTTTTTTTTAGTCTGGATCGTGTCAGAATGATCAGACCAAACACCCAGCCCACAGACATATTTTTTCTCCCCACTACCGGATGACTGTGACCCGTCCACTGGTTTCCCCACGACCGGTTTTTCCTCAGCTGCTCTGGGGGAGCCGGTCCCATGCTTGCTGCCGGAGGAGCTCCAGATCACTCAAGCCCTGATCAGCGGGGCTTTGATGATGCTCTGGTGGTCTCCCACCCCTACCACCAAGCTCATGATCTGCCATCAGGTTGAAAGGGTCCTGTCGGCACGTCTGGAGCTGCTGGGGTACCCCGGCCACCAAAAACTCTGCCTTCGCCTGGAGGGTCCTGGCTGAGGACTCCGTCGCCCACCCACCCCTGCTGTTGTTCCAGGATCTGGTTTGTCTGCTGAGTCGTCCAAAGATCTGGAGTTGGTGGGTGGTTCGACAGCCGGTGGTCTCGGCGGTTCCACAGTCAGTGGTTCCGCAGCTGGTGGTCCCGGAGTCATGGGTCTCGGTGGTTCCGGTTCCAGTGGTTCCAGTTCCAGTGGTCTCAGTGGTTCCACAGTCGGTGGTTCCACAGGTGGAGGTTCCGGTCATTCCTGAGATGGTGGTCTCAGAGGTTCCACAGTCGGTGGTTCCACAGCTGGTTGTTCTGGAGTTTGAGGTCCCAGTGGTTCCACAGCTGCAGGTCTCGGTGGTCCCAGAGTCAGAGGTCTTGGCAGTCCTGGTGGTTCGTGAGTCTACCGCCTTCACCTCATCTTCGCCTGGGTCGTCGTTCCATGCCTCCTCTTCGCCTGGGTCATCGCCCATCGCCTCCTCTTCGCCTGGTTCGTCACCCATCGTCTCCATGTCGCCTGGGTTGTCAGACGTCGCCTCTTAGTTGCCTCTGTCGCCTGTGTTCGCCGTCGCCAAGGCTCCTGCTTCAGCAACCTCCGCCGTCTTCTCATTGCCTCCCCCTTCCTCCTGGGGCTCAACGTCTGCTCTCGCCTCCTGGGGCTCAACGTCTGCTCCTGCGGGGCTTCGCTGTGAATGGTTCCCTGGTCGGCCCCCAGGACTTTTGCTTCTTCTGGGATGGTTCCCTGGTCGGCCCCCAGGACTTTTGCTTCTTCTGGGAAGGTTCCCTGGTCGGCCCCCAGGACTTTTGCTTCTTCTGGGAAGGTTCCCTGGTCGGCCCCCAGGACTTTTGCTTCTTCTGGGAAGGTTCCCTGGTCGGCCCCCAGAACTTTTGCTTCTTCTGGGAAGGTTCCCTGGTCGGCCCCCAGGACTTTTGCTTCTTCTGGGAAGGTTCCCTGGTCGGCCCCCAGAACTTTTGCTTCTTCTGGGAAGGTTCCCTGGTCGGCCCCCAG